TGTTCCATCTACACCCCATCCCCTGTGTGAAAAAAAATTGCCCATGAGGTCCCTTTTAAATCTTTCCCATCTCACGTTAAACCTATGCCCTCTAGTTTTGAACTAACCAAATTGGGGAAAAGACCTTGTCTATTCACCTTATCTATGTCCCTCATGATTTTATACACCTCTACAAGGTCACCCCTCAGCCTCCAGGGAGAAATGTACCCAGCCTCCCGAGCCTCTCCTTATAACTCAAACTCTCTAGTCTCGGTAACATCCTTGTAAATTTTCTTTTGCCCCCAACTCCTGTACACAATGCTCTGACTGATGAAGTCGAGGGTGCCAAACCTCTCCTTCACCACCCTGTCAACCTATGACGCCGCTTTCAAGGAACTGTTCTGGCCAGCGGTGGCTATTTCTCACCGATATATAACATTCCCATAAAAAGCGCAGTCAGAAACAATCATTTGATAAAAAAAAAAACAGGAATATTGGTACTCATCATTCGATTTCAGAAGCTGCTCCTTATCGCTAGTTATTGTCGTTTATTGTTCAGGCTCTCACAGAATCAGTTCTCTGAGGAAGGACTGAAACGGTTTGACTGGATTCCATCATCAAATGGTCTAAGTGAAATAACAGAATGAAGGAGGGTTTGTAAATACTGCTCTAATGATCTGGTACTCCTTCTGGGGGATGCTCATTAGAATCGACCCCTACACAGAACAACATTTAGGGACTGCTCTCAGCCTTCGAAGCTCAAAGCAATACACTTCATGATTTTTAAAACACTGTTGTAATTTGTGTGACAATAATGTGGCTTTATGTCCTGCTTATTTTTTGAACAGACCTTTTAAGGCAGAAGTGCCCAACAGTCTCTACAGCACCTCTCAAATAACCTAATGAAGCTAATGAGGCCTTGGGGATTATGTTACAGAAGAAGTCTGCACAGATGGGGTTGACTTCAGGATTCAGTCGCAGTTGCCTCTGGGGTCTGGAAGATATGGAAGCTGTTTTTCTCCCCTCTCTCGGTCACAGCTAAAAGCTGGGGGTTTCTCGTCCTGCTGCTGGAGTTGCATGTGAGACAATGTTTCTTTCTGAACTTACCTTAGCAAAGGTGTGTATATGGGAGGTTACTATACTGAAACAATTAATTAGTAATAGTTCTTGGATCTATTATTTGGCTAAGCATTTTGATACAATTACACCGAAGCAAATTATTTCCTTTACTTTTTCTGTTGTTGTACTTTAACCACAGCATGTGAATGACTTGTGCTTTGTTTCAAATCTGACAGTTTGACCAGTTGATGTGCGTGTGGAATGCAACACCTTACACTTACCATGAAAGTAACTAGAAAAAGAAAAGTCTAGACTATCTTCTTCATGATTTTGAGGGGGTTTGGCGTGGACTGTAACAAATTTCGGGATCTTGTCGGGGGATAAAAATCTCTAATTTCACGTTGGGTTCAGGATTGTTGGACTCAAAGGCAGTGAGTGGTGTGTGTTAGTGATTTTTATTTTGGAAATTCCGTTTGTTTAAACAGGGTGTGTCTTTGTGTAGTAGTGGCTCTTTCAGTCACTAAGAGCTTCCTCGGGGTGGAAGAAGTCACTTCGGGAGTTTCACAGAAAATGAGCAAGGCAATGCTTTCAGAATAGACAAACAAGCTGGAGTTGGGCTTTGCTGGGTCTGCGATGGAAAGGGGGGGCAGTTGTGGCAATTACACAATATTTATGATTGCCATCAGAATCTTTGGAAATGTCTAAAATTCAATTACAAATGAAGCAGTTTGAGTTACAGGCAGAAAAAAAGTGTAAAGGAAATGAAACAGTTTGAATTAGGATTAAAAACAGGGGCAAAAGTGAAGGAGAGGAAAGCCCTAGCAGACGAAAGGGAGAAAGAGAGAGACAGTTTTGAATTTCAGAGGTTTGAAGTGAAAACTCAAAGTCAACTTAAATAGTGGAGGTGGATGGTAGGAGTCAGGCCTTATTCAGAATATATCCCGGAGTTTTAAACTCAAATCAGTTTTGCTTTATTGCTACAGCAGGAGTTTATAAAATAACACACACAGTCCCATTGTAACTTCAGATTTTGTGTCTAAAAATAAAACAAATTAAATATGGTTTATCTCTCTCTCTCTGACACAGACACACACATAGGCGCACTTACACATAGACACACACACACACACAGACAGACAGACAGAACATGGTTTTTCTCTCTCTCACACGCACATGCATGCACACACATACACAGGCGCACACACACTGACACACACACACGCACACACACACACACATACTGACACGCACACATATACACACACACAGTGCATGGATTTTTTTCTCTCACACACACACACGCATACACACATCAATACACACACACGCGCGCGCGCGCACGCGCGCGCACACACACACACACACACAAACAGACAGAGACAGAACATGGTTTCTCTGTCTCTCACACGCGCATGCATGCACACACATACATAGACATACATAGACACACACACACACGCACACACACAAATACATGCATACGCACTGACACGCACACACATATACACACACAGTACATGGATTTTTTTTCTCTCACACACACACTCATTCACACACACACACACACACACACGCACACATAGGCGTGCACACACACACACACACAAACACACAGAACATGACTTTTCTCTCTCACACGCACATGCATGCACACACATACACAGACATACACAGACACACACACACTGACACAGGCACACACACACACACAGATACGCATACACACTGACACGCACACACATATACACACACATACATGGATTTTCCTTTCTCTCTCACACACACATATGCACACATAGGCGCACACTCTCATCAATACACACACATAGACACACACACAGACACACACACACACACACACACACACACACACACACACACACACACAAGACTCACCTCTGTTCAATCACCACCCTATCCACCCGCTCAGCGGTGCACCCATGACCACCTTTGCAGTGGTCAGTCAGCCATGTTCTGAATTTTGAATGCTCAGTCCGAAAGCTTGAGAGCTGCAGTGAATGGGAAGAGTGGGTTTATAGGGTGGCAGCCAGTTTCAGGGTTAGGATTCCTGAACCGCGGTGGATTGGGGTGATGTGGGCAGGGAACTGTAGTTATCAACAATCCGTGGTTTGTGTAAGGGTTTGGGATTTGGGGAGGTTTGTTGTTTCTTTGGAGGAGAGACAGCTTAAAATGGAGGCAGACTAGGTTTTCAATCCTCTAACTTTAGTTTCGATATAGCTGAGGTGCTGCGTTTTGTAAAGGCAAATTAGGACAGGACTTGTCCACGTAATGATCAGGTTCTGGGGAGTGTTGCTGAAGAAAGAAATCTTGGAGTGCAGGCTCATAATTCCTTGAAAGGAGTCGCAGGGATAGAAAGGATAGTGAAGAAGGCGTTTGGTATGCTTACCTTTTTTTGATCAGTGCATTGAGTATTGGAGTTGGCATGTCATGTTGCAGCTGTACAGGAAATTGGTTAGACCTCTTTTAGAATATTGCATTTGATTCTGGTCTCCCTGTTATAGCAAAGATGTTGTGAAGCTTGAAATGGGTTCAGAAAAGATTTACAAGGATGTTGTCAGGATTTGACGGTTTGAGCGATAGGGAGAGGCTGAAAAGGCTGGGGCTATTTTCCCTGGAGCGTCGGAGGCTGAGGGGTGACCTTATAAAAGTTTATAAAATTATGAGGGACACGGATATGGTGAATAGGCAAGGTCTTTTCCACAGGGTAAGGGAGTCCAAAACTAGACAGCATAGGTTCCAAGTGAGAGGGTAAAGATTTAAAAGGGACCTAAGGGGCAACTTTTTCACACAGGGAATGGAACTAGCTACCAGAGGAAGTGGTGGAGGCTGGTACAATTATAACATTTAAAAGACGTCTGGATGGGTATATGAATAGGAAGGGTTAGAGGAATATTGGCCAAATGCTGGAAAATGGGACTAGATTAATTTAAGATATCTGGTCACCCTGGACGAATTGGACCGAAGGATCTGTTTCCATGCTGTACAGCTCCATCACTCTAAGATGGAGACGGACAGAATCAAATCTGAAACCAGGTTCCTGAACTTCAACAAAGCTTCAATAAAGGTGTGCGTTGGCTATGGTAAGGTGGCAAAGGATACTTCAGGGGTTGATGGTGGATAGGCAATGGCAGACATTTAAGGAACACCTGGATGAACTTCAAAAATTGTACATTCCTGTCTGGCATAAGAGTAAAACAGAGAAGGTGGCTCAACCGTGGTTAACAAGGAAAATAAGGGAGAGTGTTAAAACCGAAGAGGAGGTATATAACTTAGCCAGAAAAAAGCAGCAAACTTGAAGACTGGGAGAAATTTAAAATTCAGCAGAAGAGGATAAAGGGTTTAATTTGGAAAGGGAAAATGGAATGTGAAAGTACGATTGGAGAAAACAAAAAAAAAAGACTGCTAAAGCTTCTTTTGATATGCGAAGAGAAAAAGACTGGTGAAGACAAATGTAAGTCCCTTACAGTTAGAATCAGGAGAATTTATAATGGACAACAAAGACGTGGCAGACCAGTTGAACAGATACTTTGGATCTGTCTTCACCAAAGAAGACAAAAATAACCTTCCAGAAATGTGAGGGGACAGAGGTTGAAACATGAAGGAGGAACTGAAGGAAACCCTTATTAGTCAGGAAATGGTATTGGGGAAATTGATAGCATTCAAATCCAATAAGTCCCCAGGGCCTGATACTCTGCATCCGAGAGCACTTAATGGCCCTAGAAATGGCCCTAGAAATAGCCGATGCATTACCAGCATTTTGTTGACTCTGGAAGAACCCAAATGGACTGGAGAGTAGCTACAATTGGGAGTTATGGGCCAGTTATCCTGACATCAGTGATGAGGAAATTACTGTAGTCAATTATTAAGGATGTAATAACTGAACATTTGGAAAGCAGTGACAGAATCAGTCCAAGTCAGCATGGATTCACTAAAAGGAAATCATGCTTGACAAATCTTCAGGAATTTTTATGGATGTGACTACTGGAGTGGACAAGGATGAATCATTAGTTGTTGTGTATCTGGACTTTCATAAGACTTCTGACAAGGTTCCACACAAGAGATGGGTAAGGAAAAGTAAGGCTCATGGTATCGGAGTAATATATTGACATGGACATAGAATTGGTTGGCAGACAGGAAGCAGAGAGTTGGTATAAACGGGTCCTTTTCAGAATGGCAGGCTGTAACGAGTGGGTTGACGCAGGATTGGGTGCTGTGTGGAGGGCTGGGACCCCAGCTGTTCACAATACACATGAATAGTTTGAACGAAGGAATTGAACGCATTATCTCCACATTTGCAGATGGCACTAAGCTGGGAGACAGTGTATGCTGTGACGTGGATGTTACGAGGCTGCAGGGTGACTTGCACAGACTGGCTGAGTGAGCAAATACTTGGTCAATGCAATATATTGTGGATAAATGTGAGGTTATCCACTTTGGTCACAAAAACAGGAAGGCAGATTATTATCTGGATGGTGGCAGTTGAGGAAAATATGAGGTGCAACGAGACCTGGGTGTCATGGTGGAACAGTCACCGAAGGTTGGGATGCAGGTTCAGAAGGCAGTGAGGAATGCTAATGGCATGCTGGCCTTCATAGCGACAGGATTTGAGTATCGGAGTAAGGATGTCTTGCTGCAGTTATACAACACCTTGTTGAGGCCACACCTTCAGTATTGTGTGCGGTTTTGGTCTCCTAGTCTGAGGAAGGACGTTCTTGCTATTGAGGGAGTCCAGTGAAGGTCCACCAGATTGAGTCCTGGGATGGCAAGAGTGACATATGAGGAAAGACTGGATGTACTGGGTGTGTACTCTCTGGAATTTAGACGAATGAGGGGGGATCTCATAGACATATAAAATCCTGATGCGACTGGACAGGTTAAATCCGGGAAGAATGTTCCCGATGTTGGGGAAGTACAGAATGAAGGACCACAGACTAAGCTTAACGGCTAAGCCATTCAGGACAGAGATGAGTAAGAATTTCTTCACTCAGAGAGTTGTGAACCTGTGGAATTCTCTCCCACAGGAAGCTGTTGGGGCCAGTTCATTAGATACATTCAAGAGGGATCTGGGCGTGACCCTTGAGGCTAAAGGGTTTAAGGGGTATGGGAAGAAAATGGAATGCGATACTGAAATTACATGATCATATTGAATGGTGGTGCTCGCTCGAAAGTCTGAATGGCCTACTCCTTCACTCATTTTCTATGGTTCTATATCTACAACTTTTCTATATCCCGCTGTATTCTTCCACAACAGTTTACACTTTCCACAACACCACTGATCTTTGTGTCAGCTAACAAATTTACTGAATCAACAATTTACGTTTGGATGGGCAATGGCAATAAGAAAGAGGTCACTGATGTATCTGAACGGAGAGTATCAATGTATTTGAGGTCAATGATGTATCCATTAACGGAAGCCCATCATGTTCACTGTGCCTCCCTTTCTCAGGAAAGACAGTATATTATCCTCACTTGGTCCTTGACGTGACTCCATATCCTGAACAATTGGGTGTGGGCGACATGTGCCAATCTCGCCAGCAATGCACACATTCAATGTGTGAGAATAATCACATTTCAATCAATGGGTGAAATGTTCTTGTTTAAAGAGAACAGCTCCTACCCTAGAATGCAGAAGAATAACTCTAAGACATATTTTCATACTTTGAATAACTGTCTCAATGCAGCATCAGTTGAAATATTTTGTGATCTCCAGATGGGGCTCATGGTGTTTGAGTGAATGGCGTAATTGCTGGAAGATTCCAGATTCTGTTCTTGTTATTTCATTCTGATGTTCTGAGTAGGAGCACGCCTTCAAAAATGAGATTGAACTTGGTATTGTAATTAGTTTGTTCATTGACAGAAATTTGAAAAAAACAGCAACAAAGAGCAAAGCTGCAACCTTGATCTCCCCAAGGAGCTTCCGCACAGTATAAAGCAGCGTCTCTGGGACTGCATCAGCTCAAGAGTTTCAAACAAAGAGTTTGTCAGCTGCCTGAAAGGACAGATAAACTCGCACAGAAAAATGCATCGACCAATTCAACACGTGGAAAGAGTGTTCTACACCATCCTTGCTTTAATTGGCATTCCTGGTATGGAGTTACGACGATTGCAGTTGATTCAATCTGCTGCTGATCTACTCTCTGCTTTTAGTCTTTCAATAATAACACCTCCAGCTGACTGACTGGTCAGCCTTATCCAGACCCTGGAACAGTGATAGCAATACATTGAGCAGCATTCTCAGTTCAATTCTCCCTTACAGAGACTCCAAACTTCACTGCTGCTGCAGCATTTTCTGATCTTAGTTTTGTGTCATCTGTTCTTGTTTCATGCATTTTGAAGTGACGAGGAGACATCACGCAAGTTAGTTCTGATGAAGGGTCACTGGACGCGAAACATTAACTCTGCTTTCTCTCTACAGACGATACCAAACGGGCTGAGCATTTTCTCTTCTTTTTATACAATTGAGGAATGTTTTCTCTAGGATTTAGAATGTTAAGGGATGATGCGAGGAAAATCCTTCAAGATGTTAGCAGGAAAAGACAGGGTTGAAAAGTATTAACTATTTTCACTGGTTCAAGATTCCAGGCAATGGAGCACAGTCTGAGAATGAGGGCCACATCGTTCAGGAGAGAGGTTCGGAAGAATTTCTGTAGATAAAGGGTGGGAGAGGTTTGAAAACTTCCACAAATCGTAGTGGATACTAAATCAGTTGTTAATTTAAAATCCGAGATAAATTTCTTGAAGCGAAGGAGTGAAAGGATTTGGGCCTCTTTTGATATGTAAAGCTTCATCTACCTGCAAACCGTTTGGTAAATTCTCTGCTCCTCCCCAAGTCTAGTCAGGGGATGCAAATCTTGACAGATTTTCCCTTCTTATCTCTGTACATCGAGACTTTTCACATGTAGAGATGTGTAGATTTACAGTCTAAACATCACATCACTCCTAACACTCAAGCCTTGTTACTAAAGGAGGCCTGCATGCCCTGTTATGCTGCACTTGTGTAAAACACATAGAGTCCTCTTGTTTGAAACCTTATGCAGTTGCTGATGACATGTCCCTGGTTCTTTTGCAGTTCCTGTCACAAATTGGTCCAATGCAAAGAGCACGGGGTGACCTCATCCAAGGAGAATAGGAGATAGCTATGTATTGACAGTCCAATCGCCAGTCCTGTGATTAAGTTTTCCAAAGTTTTTAATGAGATTCGGTTCTTGCCTGAGTTGGAACTGAAAACTGTAAGAATCTGTTGCACTCATTCAAATATTTTCCTTGCAGACCAAACAGAACCATAGTCTTCCTTCTGCTCTCTTAGGAGGGGCATGAGTTTAGTCCCTGTTCAAACTCCATGTGTATCTGGAGTGATTGGACTGGAGGACGATCTGAGGAGGGTATGAACATATTCAAATTCAAACCTACTCAAACACAACCAATTCCACTCAGACAGTGTGCCTGTTTTTGGTGGTAACATCGAATCGTTGCTCTCTGGAGCAGGCAGGGGGAATTTATGATCAGTAATTCACTGCTTCTTTTCCCATTTGTCTTCTACAGTTAATTCGCTGGCGATTGTTATCCTTTCCCGGAGCAAGTGTGGTGTTTCCCCTTGCACAACACGCTACCTGGTGATTATGGCAGCTGCCGATCTGATGGTCATTATCACTGATGTTCTACTGAGGAGATTTCGCTATTATTATTACCCACGGTGCTTCTTGGACATCACTCCTGTGTGTAGTGTTAATGGGGTCCTGTATCGTGCAGCCAGGGACTGCTCTGTCTGGTTCACTGTCACTTTCTCCTTTGACCGATTTGTGACCATTTGTTGTCAAAAGTTGAAAACAAAATATTGCACTGAGAAAACTGCAACTGTAGTTCTAGCAACAACATGCATCCTGCTCTGTTTGAAAAACATCCCCTTCTATTTTCAATATCAGCCTGTTCGCATAATCAATAATATGCCATTTTCCTGTGACACAAAGTCAGACTACTATACTGAGACTTGGTGGGTGGCATTAGATTGGTTTGATACAGTTTTAACCCCTTTACTGCCATTCGCTTTAATCCTGCTGTTCAATGCTTTGACAGTTAGACATATTTTAGTGACCAGTCGAGTGCGGAAGAGGCTGAAGGCTGAGAACAAAGGAGAGAATCGCAGAGACCCAGAGATGGAGAACAGAAGGAAGTCTGTAATTTTGCTCTTCACCATATCTGGGAGCTTCATCCTTCTGTGGTTTATCTATGTTGTAGATTTTTTATATTTTGTCATTCAAGAAATGAATCCTGATGATTACCCGCCTTTTCTATTTCACTTCAGAAGAGTTGGTTATATGCTGCAGCGATTAAGTTGTTGCACAAACACATTTATTTATGCAGCAACGTTGCCCAGGTTCAGAGCAAAGTTCAGTAACGCAGTAAAATATCTGGTTACTCGAATTGCTTGTGCTATGAATAAATAAAGCTCCTCAATGAAGTCAATAGATGGGTCCTATTGTTTACAGACCATGGAATGATTTTTATTAATCACTCGTGGGATGTGTGCATCACTGGCTGGGTCAGCATTTATCTTCCATCCCTCGTTTTCCCCTTGAGAAGGTGGTGGTGAGCTGCATTTTTGAACCGCAGCACTGAATGCATCGTAGCCTAACCTGCAACCTTCTTAGGGAGTGAGTTCCAGGATTTTGACCCCAGTGACAGTGAAGAAAGTGTGATATAGTTCCAAGTCAGGATGGCGATTGACTTGGAAGGGAATTCTCAGGGCATTGTGTTCCCATTTAACTGGTCCCCTGTCCTTCTGGATGGAAGTGCTCGTGGGTTTGAAAGGTGCTGTTTAAGAATCTTTTGTGAATTTCTGCAGTGCATCCTGTGGATAACACATACAAGTGCTACTGAGGGTCAGTGGTCCAGGCAATGGATATTTGCGAATGAGGTGCCTATCCAGGCAGTTGTTTTATCCTGCATGGTGTCGAATCTCTTGTGTCTTATTGAATTTCTGTCTATCTAGGCAAGTAGGAAGTATTGCATCAGACTGGTGACAGAGAGTCCTCTTCCCAGTGCAGGGAGAGAATTGAGCAGGGAACCTGCCTATTCCTCATCGTAGCACAATCCAAAGGAATTGTCCAGGGAAATGTGGATCAACACAGTGTGGAGCAGGAGGAACACAGCAGGTCAGGCAGCATCAGAGGAACAGGCAAGTCGACGTTTCACGTTGGGACACTTCATCAGAACTGTCTGGGAAAATGGAAGATTCCACTGGGAAATTTCTATCAGCTTGGATCCCTCCGGCAGTCTCCATCAAACGAAAGGCTTAGTAGCGTTCTTAAGAAAGTAAATAGAATAGGTATTCAGAAAGTGATTGACTACTAAATATGTGGTCCCACTCCTCAATAACAATTTAATAGAACCCACACGAATATCACAAGCAGCCAACACCTGTTTTGACGTGAGGTGTTGAGGCAAGTGATTATACGACGTTATCAGAAGTATTTAATTATGCAGCCACATTGCCTACGTTCAGAGAGAAGTTCAGCAACGCAGTAAAATATCTGGTTACACGAATTACTTGCGTTATGAATGAATAACAACAAATGGCTGGGCTCCGGACTTTTCAGCATCCAGGCTCCCAATTCCAATTTACTGCTATTGCAATACAGTCCGAGCAGACATTTACTGCCATGGGGTTAAGGGACGAAATAGCTCTATTATGTTGAAAGTGATACGTTGCCACCCTCTGCTAGCCTCCGTTGACCACTGTACAGATGGTAGTGAAGGGTGAAAACCTCTAAGGACTCAGTCAGAGAGGGAGGGAGGGAAAAAGGGAGGGCAGCAGCTCACATCACCGTCCAAACTGACAGTGCCATCCATATATATATATATATATATATATACACACGCACACATACACACACACAGACGCACACATAAACACATACACGCACGCACACACGCACAGGCACGCACATACACACGTAGACACACACACAGATACACACATAGACACGCACAGACAGATGTATAGACACACACACACGCACACAGACGCACACACACAGACACACACAAACACAGACACATATGAACACAGACACACATAGACACACACACGCAAGTACACACACACACACGTACACACACACACACACATTGTTGGTGTGGAGTGGATTGTAATTGTACTGAGGTCCCTCAATGTGGAACATGCTCATGCGGAGAAATGTTTGTGTCCCCTTGCAAACTGGAAATATTTTGCCTTTGGTATTATTCACATGGAATAGAGCGTTTCCACTGCAAATATATACGAGTGGATCATTTCATAAGAAGACAGGGTGAATTTTATTCCACTTTCTGCAGTTTCTAATTGTGAGAAAGGATTCAATGGTGGACAGGGTGAGACCAGTGTAGGCATGTTCTTCTGCTTCTTCTCATATCTCAGGGACAACATGGCAAGGGATCGGGCAAAATTACTTTGTGTTTCTGAAGACATTGTTTGAAGCACGAAAGAAGCGTGGAACATGACAGATTCACAGACTTTGATTTTTCTCCCTAAGGAATTGCTGCTTGTGCAGTGGCGTGGGGAATCCAGCAGATAGTGGCATTGTATCACTGTAAATGCAAGATGAACAGCGAGAGAGAGAGAGAGAGAGAGGATTCACCCTGAAACAACAATGATCCCACTGCACAAAGATACACACAAACTTAGATATACATAATACATGAACACGCAACTGACACAAACACACAGAGATACACAGAGGTACAAGCACAGGTACACACTGATATAAAAAACACGAATATACATTAACACACAGACATATACCACCAAACACACATACATTATCACACAGCGATGCATAGACAGACGCATGCACACAAATGCAGGGAAAGAAACAAGCATACATAGACACAGAAACACACATCTATGGAGAAAAAAATACATATACAGACAGAAACACACATAGTTCGACACCGAAACATATACAGATGTGCAGAAGCACATATGCACACAGAGATAGAAACACATAGATATTCACAGAGACACACACAGACAACATTCTCACACAAACACACAGATGTATGCAGGCATTCACAAACACATGTACACATACACAAACACCAATAAGCAAACAGACACACACATATCGATAGACAGAGACACACATACATTACAAACAGACACAGGTGTACACGCATACAGGTACAGATATTTCCAAGGACAGTCAAAGTGAAGGCTGCAATAGAATTCCTTGTTCCTAAAACTAAATGAGGAATGAGCGGATTTTTAGGAATATGCGAATTTGCTGGAAATTTGTACATAATTTTAGCTGGCGACCTGTGCCATTGATAAGTTTATTAAATAAACAAACAAAAAGGTTGAAAAAGGTAGCTGGGTGACTGTCAGGAAGGGGGAAAGGGAATAGGCAGACAGTGCAGTGAACCCCTGTGGCCATTCCCCTCAATAATAAGTATACTGTTTTGGATACTGTTGGGTGGGACGACCTACCAAGGAAAGGCCATAGCAGCCAGGTCTCTGGCACTGAGCCTGGACTTGTGTCACAGAAGGGAAAGGGGGGAGAATAGGAGAGCAATTGTACTGGGGGATTCAATAGTAAGAAGCACAGACAGGTGGTTCTGTGGACATGAACGAAATGAACGGATTGGAAGTTTACCTCCCGGGTGCCAGGGTCCGTGATGTCTCGGATCGTGTCTTCAAGATCCTTGAGGGGGAGGGTGAGCAAACGGCAGTCGTGGTACACATTGCTACCAATGACACAGGTAGAAAAAGGACTGAGAATGTGAAAAACGAGTACAGGGAGTTAGGTTGGAAGCTGAAGTCCAGGACAAACAGGGTAGTTATCTCTGGATTACTACCAGTGCCACGTGATAACGAGGTAAGAAATAGGGAGAAAGTGCAGCTAAACACGTGGCTACAGGGCTGGTGTAGGAGGGAGGGCTTCCATTATGTGGATAACTGGAGCACATTCTGGGGAAAGTGGGACCTGTATAGTAAGGACGGGTTGCACCTGAACTGGAAGGGCACAAATATCCTGGGAGGGAGGTTTCCGACAGCTGTACGGGATGGTTTAAACTAGCTTGGCAGGGGGTGGGGGAACCGGATTTATAATTCAGAGGATGAGGTATTCAGCCTTCCAAAAGGGAGTGAGGTTGTTTATAAAGAAATGCGGTCGATGGGGCGTAATTGTGGACACAGGGATGGTTTGAGGTGTGTATACTTCAGTGCTAGAAGTATCAGAAATAAGGCGGATGAACTTAGAGCATGGGTGGGTACTTGGAACTACGATGTTGTGGCCATTACAGAAACTTGGGTAACTCAGGGAGAGGAATGGTTGTTGGAAGTTCCAGGATTTAGATGCTTTAAAAGAAATAAGGAGAGTGAAAAAAGAGGCGGGGAAATGGCATTGCTAGTCAGGGCTAGTATAGTAGCTACTGAAAGGCAGTTTGAGAATGATATGTCTGCAGAGTCAGTTTGGATTGAGGTCTGGAACCAGAAAGGAGCAGTCACGTTCTTGGGGTCTTTTTACAGAACCCCTAATAGTTGCAGAGAAGTGGAGGAGCGGATTGGGAGGCAGATACTGGAAAGATGCAGAAGTCACAGAGTTGTAGTCATGGGTGACTTCAACTTTCCAAATATTGATTGGAAACTTTTTAGTTGTAATAGTTTAGATGGAGTGGATTTTGTCCAGTGTGTTTAGGAAGGATTCCTGACACAGTATGTAGATAGACCAACACGAGGAGAGGCCACTTTGGATTTGGTGCTTGGCAATAAACCGGGCCAAGTGTTAGACCTGTTAGTAGGAGAGTATTTTGGCCGTAGCGATCATAACTCTGTTACGTTTACAATAGTCATGGTAAAGGATAGGTACATTCGGCAGGGTAAGGTTTATAATTGGGGGAAGGGTAATTACAATTCTGTTAGGCAGGAACTGGGTAACATAAAATGGGAACAGATGCTGTCAGGGAAGAGCACTATTGAAATGTGGAGATTGTTTAAGGAATGCATACTGCTTGTGCTCGATATGTTTGTCCCTAGCAGGCAGGGAAGATGCGGTCGTGTGAGGGAGCCTTGGTTCTCAAGAGAGTTCGAACGACTGGTTAAGAGAAAGAAGAATGCTTATGTAAGGTTTAGGAAACAAGGAACTGAAAAGGCTCTAGAGGGATACAAGTTATCCAGGAAGGAGCTGAAGAAAGAGCTTAGGAGAGCTATAAGGGGGCATGAGAAAACCTTGGCAGATAAGATCAAGGAAAACTCAAAGGCTTTTTACACGTACGTGAGGAATACGAGAATGCACAAAGAAAGGGGAGGGCCGATCAAGGATTGTAGAGGGAATTTGTGCACGAAGCCTAAAGAGATAGGAGAGGTCCTTAATGAATACTTTTCTTCGGTTTTCACAACTGAGAGGGACCTAGTTGTAGAGGAGGACAGTGTGAAGCAGGCTGGTAGGCT